AAAGGGTCAAGTGCTTGTTTCCAATTGACATCTGACTCTTCATTGTTTTGAAACATGATTACTTAAATTAGAGTACTGTATGTTTATTTTGTTTTGGTACTTATTTGTAGTGGAAGAAATTTACATATGAGACAGCAGCTTTGTTCAGTATATAAATTCGAATAAATTATATATGACCACCACTCTTTAATATTTTTAAACTGGAGCTAACAGACACAAAAGAAGTTTATTGTATGGCCACTCTAATCATTAATAATAGAGAACATAATTTAGGGTCAAATTTGCTTGCATTCAAACAGTACTGCACATGCGTGCATTCGTTTTCATTCTGAGTTACTCTGGAAAATAAGTTCAATTATTTTACAGACTCACATCTAAGCAATTTAACAAGTAACCTGAGCGTTATCACAGTTTTCTGCTGCGCCTAGTGTCAGTCTAGTCATAATTTATTTCAGACGTTTGTGTTGCAGAAGATTGTGCAGGCATCCTTGAAACATTCTAAATCCCTGCTTGCTTGGAAATAATACATGACTCTGTCATAACCTTGGCAGCTGCAATGTTAGGTTTTCACTTCAGGTTTATAGTAGCTTTACATTTTATCTGTCTGTGGAAGTACATTTAATGAAGTGAACAGCAAATGTTATTTTTAAAAAGTAAATGGTGTACAGTCAAAATGTGAGGTCACTGTGTCTTCAATAGTGTCTATGCACAGATATAATCCACAGCTTTATCACTGGAAAGCTTTAACAAAGGAAAACTGAAAGTAGAATAAAAGGGAAACATTTTGGCAGGTCATTTGAAAGAAATAAACTATTTTCTGATATATAAAGCTAAAGCTTACACTATGTAAAGAAGATTAAATTGTTGTTCTGAGAAGATATGGACAAATTTATTTTGTTGAGGAGAGTGAATTCCTTCTGGAATACATTCTGTTTGTTAGATCAGGCTCTTCATATTCAAACAGTGTGAGAACTGAGCATTCGTGCAAAAGAAAACCTGAACAGCAGAATTCCAAATGATCAACATTACTACCACAACAAATTCTGCTGTCTGTTAATGAGATCAGTAGTGATCTTTGCACCTTTTCTGCCTGCAAATGAGCTGTGGTGTGGTGTTTTTTCTCTGGGGAGAAAGTGTATTAATTGCGCAATGCATATTGAGATATGTCACCAGGTTTATGTGGAGCTTAAAAGCAAGTTTTGAATGGCATTTTCCTATTACAGTACTGGGTTTCCTGTTCTTTCAGTGTGCAAATTCCTTTGTTTGCACAATACTGGATTTTCTGCTTGAATTTGTCAGGTCAAAACATTTTTCATTTTTCACTTTTCAAGGCAAAGAAGTTTATATTGAGAAAATGCTGGCCCCTGTGTCTAAAAGAAAATACTATAACTGGGGGAAAAAAACTAAATACTGAGCTACACAAGATACTCACATTGTCCTTTGACAGCGACATAATTTCTTATTTCCTGAATCACGTTAATTTGAATTTTAGTATCAAAAGGAAACAAGGTGTTATAAATCCACAGCATGCAAATGTTTGTCTTTGAAAAGAAGAAATGTTGATTTATTTTTATCTAGATAAACTGTAAAAACCAACAAATTTGATTAAAATTTCTTTAAAATTGATGAGACTGTTTCATTATTAGGTGTTGCAGGTAAATGTTGGCCTTTAAACTTACAGAGTATAAAATAATGATATGATTAATGAAAACTAACTATCAAGTAAAACTGCATTTTTGTTGAAGTCTCTTTTTTGGGCTGAGACTAAAATCTTCATGATGCTTGTTAAGAAGTCTGAAACAGATCTGTAACTTATCGCAATTTAAATCTGGATCTGACTGGATGCGTTTCACTGAAAAAAAAAAACATTAACTACAAGAAGCCATAAAAAGCTGTCTGTGATGTTCAGGTAATTTTCAGGAATGAAGCTTGACAGTACATAATAAGATACTCTTGTAATGGGGAAAGTCATTACCAAGGGGTCTTGAGTATCACAGAAATGAATATTATTTTGTCTTTGCTGCACAACAGTTGTTTTGATCTTTGTAAGAGATTTTTAACAGAGAAGACAGACAATGATCCTCAGGCATCAGAATCAAGGCCATGCTCTGAGGTAACATGAGCTCACAGGAATGTGCTTTGACATCCTTGAAAAATTGCCTTACAGAGCATCCAGATTTTTTTTTCCATTGGATTTCCAATAGTCCTTGATGATAAAATCTAAAGCTCTTTCATTTATTTACTTTTACACAGTAAGTCTATAACACAAAAGTAGGCAGAAAAACGCATCGGATTTAGTTCTGATAATTTATGTATTGTTGTGTACTGTACCTGGTAAAATAAACGTATTTTGAACTAAAGGGGAAATCTCAGGTTATTATACACCATTATTAATTATTGGATTAATCTAATAATCCAATTAGTATAATTTAATTAATTTAATTTGCTTTGTGAAAAGAAAAAAACAGCTATTTTTTAATCTAAAAAAATAGGATAAATCTGTAGTTCAGATTAACTTTTAAGTGGTACGTAAGAATCTATATAGGATCTTTTTTTATTTACCATTATAAACTA